CATGTCAAGGGTGACAAAATCCAGTCATCACACATCTCCATAAAAAGCAAAAATTTTGAACACATGATCACTGTTGCAGTCCTCTCCTGAGGGAGATAACTTGGAGTTGGAAGTTTTCTCCTGAGCCCATCGTGGTTTCTGAGAGAGAGGAGCCATGTGGCCATACCTGGTTACCTTTCTGGAGAAATTTTAAAAAGCTGTGTAATACAAAAGGAGAGAAAACAATAGCCATATCATCTAGTAGTTGGGGATACGTATGTAGATGACACAGATGGGACATCAAAGAGGAAGCCACAATTTAAAATATGGATTGGGAATTGGTGTTGCAATGAGAATAATTTTTGGCTGCCACAGAGAGACATCTCTTTTTGTATATGCTCTTCAATCCTACAATTTTCTGTTTCCTTTTCCATGTGCTTCCAGCACTTTCATCGTGAGAGCTTCATGTGTTGTGATGGACAACATGACATGATTACTCTTCCATTCCTTTGTGACTTTTAGGAAATTCTGTACACATTTCTAGGGAGTCCTATTTTCACCCATTTGAAAAAGTCTGTGGGCAAGCACAATGTCTTCAGCTTGTAATCTCAGCAGCTTTGGGGGCCCTGGTGAGGGCGTTGTCTGAGCTGGTGGGAGCTCAACAAGCCTTGGTGAGACTTCCTCTCTACAACAAATCAAAAAATTAGCTGGGCATATAAGCACATGCATGTGGTTCCAACCACTTGGAAGACTGTGGCAGAAGGATATCTGGAGTCCAGCAGTTTGACACTGGAATGGCCATGAACATACCTCTGCACTCCAGCCTGGGCAATGGAGTGAGAAAAAAAAAAAAAGATCGGTTTATGTCACAGGTCAGAATTGTATGAGGGGAGTTGTGGAGTTATTGAGATTTGGTTTAGAAATCCAAAGAGTGCCGGGCTTGTTGGCTCAGCCTGTGATTCTGCACTTTGGGAGTCTGAGGTGAATGGATTGCCTGAGCCCAAGGGTTCGAGACCCACCTGGGCAACTTAGTAAGACCTCATCTCTACAATAAATTAAAAAATTAGCTGGGAATGGTAGTGCACACATAAGTTCCAGCTATTTGGAAGGCTGTGGCAGAAGGATAGCCAGAGCCCAGCAGGTTGAGGCTGCGGTGACCAGGGGTGCCAATGCACTCTAGTCTGGGTGACAGAGTGAGACTCCAACTCAAAAAAAAAAAATCCCAAGAGCACTATGGGCATGTTTTCTGCATTATAATCTTCCTTTTTTGCTTTTCTTGAGTCCTGATTCTGTCACCCACACTGCCGTACAGTGGTATGTTCTTGGCTACCTTAGCCTTGAGCTGCTGAGCTCTGGTGATCCTTTTGCTTCAGTCTTCAAAGTAGCTGGAACCACAGGTGTGTGCAACCATGACTGCTAATTTTGATTTATTGTAGAAGGAATGTGTAGCCAAGTTGCCCAGGCTGATCTGAAAACCCTGGTTTCTGGAGATCCTCCCAACTCCACCTCCCAAAGTGTTGGGATTACAGGTATGAACCACTCTATGGAAGTTTCAAACATGATCCTCCAGGAATTTAGATCTTTTTTTATTTTTTGAGTTGGAGTCTCACTGTATCGCCAAGACTAGAGTGCGGTGGCCACTCCTGGCCACCGCAGCCTCCACCTGCTGGGCTCTGGTGATCCTTCCACATCAGCCTTCTGAGTGGCCAGAATTACAGGCACACACTACCACACCTGGCTAATTTTTTTTTATCTATTGTAGAGATGAGGTCTCGCCAAGTTGCCCAGGTGGGTCTCGAACCTGCGGGCTCAGGCAATTCACTCACCTCAGCCTCCAAAGGTGTGGGATTACAGGCTGAGCCACTGAGCCTGGCTATAATAAAACATTTTTTAAAACTGTCAAATATAGCCGGGTGTGGTAGCACGCCCCTGTAGTTCCAGCTACTTGGAAGCCTGAGACAGAAGGATCACCGGAGCCCAGAGGGTCAGGTTCTCAACTCAGTCTCTCTGGGGAGGGAGGGAAAAGCAAAAACAGCTTCAGGAACCTGAACTGCCTCGATAATGATTCAGGACCAGTGGGGGGGTACCTATAAATCAGATCAAGTTTTTGTAAGAGCATCTACTGCAAAACCTTTAAATGGTATCTGAGATCACTTTCAATCTTTCTACAGAAGCCTCAGTCACCCATAGTGCTTTTTTTTTTTTTGAGTTGAAGTCTCACTCTGTCACCCAGACTGGAGTGCAGAGGCCGCTCCCAGCCACTGCAGCCTCGACCTGCTGGGCTTCAG